ATTTTACATAAGTCTACCCTCTACAATACGAACAGGTGGAATTTACGCAGCTCATTTACACACTTTTCCTGAAGATAGAAGAGTTTGTTGAATCTGACATGACATTTTCGTACGAACCCTTCGTACGAACAAAAGTAAGAGAAATTTAGGAGAAGAATACGAACATGTTCTTGCATGAGGCCCATTATGTCTTACATTGGAAATTTTTTTATTTACATTAATTTACAAGATATAATTTATTTAAAGGTATTTTTATATTCAATTAAGTTTGTTTTTGTTGGTTGGGGTGGGCCGGACAAGTCACCCACAGGCCGGTTGTAGCCCACGGGCCGCCAGTTGGATGTCCCTTTCTCATGGGCATGCACCAATAATGGCCAGTTCTTTTATTGTCAGTAAGAGAAACAGTAAATGTGAACTCTCTTGTTTATTTTTTTTACCCGTCATGCAAATATTTGTCCACAACTGGTAGCAAAAAATATTCCAGAGCTACTAAAAGTGAAATCACTTGATGAGTAGTATTTCTTCAGATATACGGGTGATGCTGTGAACTCTGATGGTGACAGCCTGCTTTGTAAAAAATATGTTTGTCTTTTTTTTGTATTTTATTTTAGTGTCTGACTCAGGGCTGTGCAGGCAATGCTAAAGGCTCCGTCCATCTAGGGGGTGCCACAAATGGGAGACAAAACAAATATATAATTTTTTTTATMAGAATAAATTTGATTTAGTTGGTAGAATCACTGGTTACTCAGGTTTCTGAACTTGTTCTGTGTATTTCTCAGCTGCTTTGTTCCTACATGAGGTGTTATACGATGCAGACAATGTTTCACAATAAAAGTATCACATGATGCAGTGAAGACTAACTGCTGGTGCTCATTTAAATAGAAAACAAAACAAGGATAATGGAGGTTTTGGGTTAAAGTCTTGTGTTCTACCTTCATAAAATACTGACTTTTGGTTGTTTTATTGGTAAAATTCTTCAAACATCTGGAAAATGCAGAGTTTTAAGTAGATCTTACCAGGAAGTATTTTCTTGTGTCATTAGTTATTTTAATTGGACAACTTGGTTTGTAAAGATAAAAAAAAAAACAATATGAAAAACAAAACTATTTTGTTTGGTTTGTGAAATTTAGAGAAGTACACAAGAGGCACCACTTAAAATCTTGCCTATGGTGCCAGAACAGCTAGGGCCGGCCCTGCTCCGACCATCTGGTTCCTGCGTTGACACTTTATTTGTGCATCCTCTGTTGTTGTGAGTCAAATATGTGTCATTTGTTATTGTTCTGTGGGCTTGTCTGTTCACTGAAGTAAAGCTGTAGCATCTGCAGCAACACAAGCAAGGAGTCTGACATTATTATCATCGTTACCTCAGTTTGATCAGAGACAAGGTTATGACATCATTTCCAAAAGGTTGCGTTTCAGCTGTCTACACTAAATCTGATGTTTAAAGATGTTTTGGAATTAGTTATTTAAAAAAAAATACAGCTCCTAAAACACAGATGACAGAAGGATTTGAGAACTAGTGAGTGTTATATACTCATGACCACAAAGCCATGCTTCAGCAACTCTTGAATGTCTTCTCCCACTAGTTGTGTTCAAAAATTTGCTTAAACAATAAGATAAAAGGAAAATGAGAGCTGTACTGTGTATAAGAATCATCAGCAGGTGACTCTGAATCATGAAAATGATTCAAGTGGAGTCAGTTTTTCAGATTATAATGACCCAATAAATTCAGATYGATTTTAATTTCTGATCCTTGTACTTTACTACATAAAAATATTTAAACTTCTTTACTATTTCTAATTTAAAAATACTATAACTTATTCAATAAATGAGGCTATCTCATATGGTTGAAGCTGAAAATGTTGGTCCAAGTATTTCCATAAATAAATCAGTTGGTCACTCATGCAACAAGTGTTCACATAAATGTTGAACTGTCTGGAAATTTCCCGTGCAACATAAAACTAAGCCTGGCATGCATTTTTATTTGTTTTTATGAACAATTAATAATCGTTTCCTGTTTTTGTTCTTATTTTTTATCACTGAAAAAGCAGCACAGCCAACCAAAAAACCCAACACAGATGACTTGCAGTAGAGGGAAAAAATAAAAATAAAAAACCGAGCGATTCTCCTGCTTTGAAGCAAAGAAACATCGCCTTTTACTAAAACACCTAAAATATCACCTGCAAACTCTAAACAGCCTCCTTCACTGTCCATCATGCAGCACAAATATGCAAATACAGAAAAACAAAGAACAAATAGTAAAAAAATAAATGAATAAATAAATAAATAAATAAATATATCATTGGTTGTTCCACATGGCACCAGAGCAAAACAGTGAGAAAAAAAAAAACAGACTAACAGAAAATAGATCAGAGGTGGATCTGCCAGAAATAACTGGAATATTTTTGGAGCTAAACTACTGCCTGGCTGTTGGAAACGCAGCCCGTTCAGGATCCACYGAGGGCCTCTCAGCGCCGTCGTCACGCTGCAGGCAACGCAAACTGAATCTACGGCGTGGTTCTGTTCGCTGGGCTACAAAAACACACGTTAAAGTCTGGACCGGGCCGAGTCAGCGGCAGCTTCACACACTGCTGCTCTGTGTGTGTTTGTGTGCGCGTGAATGTGTGTGTGTGTGTGTGTGTGTGAGACGAGACACAAATGTCCGGTGACGTGACGGTCGGTTCAGTCTTTGCATTCGGAGCGCGTTCGTCTGAGGATTGATGAGAAGAAGCTGCGACAGTGTGGCGGTCCCATCAGCATGGGGGCCTGGTTCTTGTGGACGATCTGAATCTGGAATCAGAGACAAAAACAAGATTTCTTTTAATTTGGAGTTTTTTTCCCCTGTCAAAAACATGATTTTATCCACAAATAAAAAGAGATTATAAAGGGTTTGATTATATTTTGCCTCTTAAATTGAAAGAACACTAATGCCTTWACCCACGTTCYTCTCTCTGTTAGCAAAAWATCATGTGAACCATTGGGCTGCTTTTGTTGAAACTCATCAAAAGAAATCATTGGATGCACATCTACAATTATACAATTAAATATCTTTAGAATAGGGCTATTCAACTATCGGCCTGTGGACTACATCCAGCCTGCAGGTGAGCTCTGTCCAGCCCGCCAATGAGGCCCCGCCCCACCCTCCAAAATTTTCACCAGATGTTTGTAACAACCCAAGTGATCCATACATACAAAGAAATCAAACCATACATGTACAGAAATAAAGTTATTTATAATAATGTGGAATGGCACAGGGAAAAAGTATTGAACACATGAAGAAAGGGAGGTGTAAAAAGGCATGGAAAGCCAAGACACCAGCTGAACTCTCTCAGTAATTAGAAAGCAAGCCTGCCCCCTGAGGCTACGAGGGCGAAAGTCTTCTTAAAATCCTGCGGGACGTGGAGAACAGCACAGAGG